CAATTTTTGATCCGTTAACCATCTGAAACTCACCCGAGGCCCTCGGGACCTCAACCAAATATACCAACAAGTCCTAAAACATCATACGAACTTAGTCGAATCCTCAAATCACCTCAAACAACGCTAAAACCATGAATTACACCCCAATTCAAGCCTATTGAACTTTGAATTTTTTAATTTCTACAAACAACTCCGGAACCTATCAAATCACGTCCGATTGNTCCTCAAATCACCTCAAACAACGCTAAAACCATAAATTACGCCCCAATTCAAGCCTATTGAACTTTGAAATTTCTAATTTCTACAAATAATGCCGAAACCTATCAAATCACGTCCGATTGACCTCAAATTTTGCACACAAGTCATAAATGACATAACATACCTATTAAAATTTTCAAAATCGGATTTCGACCCCGATATCAAAAAGTCAACCCCTCTGTCAAACTTTCGAAAAATTTAACTTTCGGCATTTCAAGTCTAATTCCTCTACGGACCTCTAAAAATTCTTTCGGACACGCTCCTAAGTCCGAAATCACCATACGGAGCTATTGGAATTATCAGAATTCTAATCCGAGGTTGTTTACACATAGGTCCATATCCAGTCCACTTTTCTAACTTAATTTTTTCAATTATGAGACTAAGTGTCTCATTTCACTCTGAATTCCTTCCGGACCCGAACCAACTAACCCGATAAGTCATAAATCAATAGCAAAACATAAATTGAGCAGTAAATAGGGAAATAGAGTTATAATATTCAAAACGACCAGTCGAATGAGTGAAAAAAAATTTGATAATTAGAATATCCCACGATATGCACATATTATATATGGAAATCTATCGTAAGGTTTGCAAAACTACATGCTCTCAGTCTCTCCTGTCATTGGCCACTACTTACCATGAATAGGACTAAAAAAGTAAAAACTTATATTGGGCTATAGTACAAAGTACAAACTACAAACTACAAAGGAGAGAAAAGATGTGAGCGTGCAACAATATATATATATATAGCACGTTTGGCCGAGATGCAAAAATCAGCTTATTTTGAAAATCGATTTTTCCCAAAAGTGTTTTTCTTAAAAATCAATCAGATTGAAGCGTGACAAGGACGCATTTGATTGGTCAGAATATGTCACTTGTACATGTGGCATGATTTCACTAGTTTTTTAATTTGACTTGGCATGCCTTATCATTTTAACATGTGGCGTGATCCTATTGGCTCTACAGTTTGACTTGGCGTGCCACATCACTAGACACGTAGTATCAAATTGGGCCTCTAAGATGATGACATCTTGGGCTTAATGAAGTGGACTCATCACTTCTAGCCCAATTAAACAGGCTACCCCAGTCAATATTTATGGACTTGAATAATTAATCCAATTATATTAGGCCATAATATTTATTTAGACTAATATATTTTAAATTTAAATTATAATCCAAATAATTTTATGGACTTAAATCCAATAAAATTTAAATTCCTACAACTATATTAACTTATTTCAAACCAAACGAGCACTAAATACATACACCCGATTTTCATATTATCTTATTCTCAAACCAAACGAGGATTAAATACACACACCACGTTTTTCAAATCATCCATTGATGCGATCTAGTGAGAATCCAATAGAGAAAATTTCTTTTCTAATTATTTCTCGATAGAACGATTTCTTATGAGCAAAGAAACAGAGAACCCAAGCTGTAAGTTATCACGACCAGGAATTTCTACCTTCGGGACCGTGATGACGTCTAATATTTTACTAGTTGGGCAAGCCAACGTTAGATATAGTTATTAACCAATCCAAATCAATTTACCACAATAAAACTGAATAGTCTGAAATAAAGAGATAACGTAATAAATGACGAAATCTAAATACAATCCTAGAACTGGTGTCACGATTACATGAGCGTCTAGAATACTACAAATAATAGTTTGAATAAAAACAAAAGTGTCTAAATCCAAATAAACAACTAGGATGGTATAGAAGGGGGACTTCAGGGCTGCGAATGCCGTGCAGCTATACCACAAGTGTTCGCCAGTAGCTAGATCTGGGCGACCTCACTAAACGATGTTGGGACCAACTCTGGTATCTCACAAAAAGTGTAGAGTATAGTATGAGTACAACCGACCCCATGTATTATGTAAGTGTCGAGTCTAACTTCGACGGAGTAGTAACGAGGCTAAAGCGGGCCATTTACAATATCATGTACGCAGTAATAATAATAATAACAGAGAAAGAAAACAGGAAATGAAAGTAAAACGGTTATTCTATGAAAATGAATTCAAATCTCACCATGAGAAAGGCTAGAATAACAAACCTCTTAATCTCATATAAAAATATTGAAACTAACACAACAACAGCAACAACAACAACAAGTATAACACACATAATCTGTTGTGGCGCACAACACGATCCCACCTCATCACCATTTATCAATATCATAATCCTCCCTTATTCCACCATATTATCATTAAATCAATATCAAGTATCACGTATACAATCAGTTGCGATGCGCAATCCGATCCCACCATATCATCATTTATGAATACCAGGTCCTCCCTTATTCCACCGTTTCAATTCATCATCTTTCAACTTTCGTTGTGGCGTGCAACTAGATCCCCAATCAATTTCAAATAACATAAATAATCCAATAACTCAATTTATAAGAATTTCTACATCAAAGAGTATGAGTGCAAGACAATAAAGAACAGCATAATAATCAAAGGATGCAACAAATATTACAAAAATAATAGGACAAGTAAAGCATGTGGCAATTAAGGTGTGCAAGTAAAACAATTAAGGCAAGTAGCAAATAAGCACGGAGTCATGAAAGGGACGAACAATTCAAAACAGAAATAATTAAATGACAAATAACAATTACGACATAGAAAGCAATTAAAGCATGTAACAATTAAGGTATGGAATAAGATAAATCATGAAATAACGAAAAACATGGAAACAAATATCTTAACAACGTATAGACACTGCCACCATGCATATACGCCATTTTCTCACATAATTCACATAACCAGTGGCAAAGCTACAGTGCTCCAAGGGTGGTCATGCGCACATTCTTCGTCGGAAAATTGTACAGCGTATATAAGTAAAATGTTGTTTTATTTTAATATATACAATAGCTTGCACACCCTTGACACAACCTGGTGAGGTTGTCCAGTGGTGAAGGGTGTGCAAAATGTTCCACTGATTGTAGGTTCGAATTTCAATGCAAACTTTTGATATAATCTAATTATTTTATATTATTATATTATCAAAAAGCAATGCAAGTGTAACCTTCAGATCCACGTTTTCCTTTCCAAAGTAGAAGTATCGTTCTTTTCCAAATTCCAACCAACCTTTGACTTTCTTTTTCTTTTTTAATTTTTCAATAAATAATATTAAAGATCATTATTTAATTGAAGGTAACTTAATAAAAATTTCTAACAGCTCTTTACTAGACCTAAACCTAAATTTGTCAAAATAGAAAGAAGAAACACAGAGTAGAAAAATAAAAGACCATCCCTTGCTTTTTGCCTTGATAGCTTGTTGCGTTATTGTCGGATGCCCGTGAAATCTTGCACTCTAACTCGAAATTTAATTCAACTTCAGGTTAGACTCTTATGTCTTTCTCTCTTTTTTTTTTTTGCTCAATTTATAATCTAAATTTTATTGTTAGAGACTTTAGAGATTGAAAATTTACTAAATATTTCTAAATCTCTTAACATTTACAACTAGAATAAAATAACTGACACTTAGATGACCCGATTCATCATTCCTGAATATATATTTGTTCTTTAAAAAAGAAAATAAGAAAATATTTGGTGGATGTGTATATGAATTTGGGACATAGTTTGAATTTTCAGATTTTGATTTTCATCGTTCATTATATTATAAAGGCATTTTACATGGCACGAGATGGAGACAGTAGAAGTTAATTATGGACTTCTTCTATGATGATAACTCTCTGAAAGGATATTGATTAGGAACTATCTGATTTTTAAATATTTCCTTCATGATGCCTAAACTCATATTTAAGAAGTAAAACTTGTATATTGCTCTTGGATCCTGCTAATTAAGCTGGAGTGGTGGTAAAGTGTAGCTTCTTTGACTTGTGTAGTACTACAGTGAGTACTTACGGTGCTTTTTAATAGATGTTCTTTCTATTTTTAATTAGTGTGATGCACTTGACTATTATTTTAGTTTGATTTGAAGTTTCAATGGACTTGAAGAATTTTTTTACTAACGTACCAAAAACAAGTTTTACATCTCACAAAATCAACCTAATCGAGAAAAAACTGTAGACCAATCAGAAATATCGTCGCATTCTGCTCAGAGACAAAAACTTGATTTAAATTCTATAAATCATGATCCACCTGAAAGAATTCCAATTTTGAATTATCATCCAAACCATCGTGATGAAATAAGGAGGGAATACCTTCGAATTGGTCCTCGCCAACCTCGGAGTCATGACTTCCTCAATCTGACTTTTCAGGATCAAAGCGTCGTTTTCTTTCTAAATGGTTTGATGATTATGGTGACTGGTTGGAATACAGTGTGAGTACAAATGCGGCATATTATTTACCTTGTTATTTGTTTAAAGGTGATAATATTCATCAAGGTAGAGGTGATGTATTTTCAAGTAAAGGGTTTAGAAATTGGCATAAGATTAAAGACAGCTTTTCAAAGCATATTGGTAGGCCGAATAGTGTTCATAATCAAGCAAAAAGAAATTGTGTAGATCTAATGCAACAACAACAGTCCATTCATGCTTCATTTGACAAGCAATCTGATCAATTGAATTATGAATATCGGCTTCGCTTAAATGCTTCAATTGATGCGGTAAGACTTCTCTTGAATCAAATCAAGGATTGGCACTCTATGGTCACGATGAAAGTGAATCGTCATTGAACAAAGGTAATTTTCTTGAAGTTCTTTCGTGGTATCGAGATAGATGTGAAAAGATTAAGATTTTTTTATTGTAAAATGCTCCAAAATAATAATAAAATGACTTCTCTAGACATCCAAAAAGAAATTGTGACTGCATGTAAGATAGAAACAATTAAGGCTATAATAGAGGATCTAAATGGTGACTACTTTTATTTATTAGTTGATAAATCTTTTGATGTCTCACGAAAAGAGCAAATGGATATTGTTTTAAGATATGTTGATAGAAAAGGATTTGTGATGGAAGCATTTATTGGACTTGTTCATGTTCCTGATACTAGTGCTTTATCCCTAAAGAAAGCAATTGTTAACGTACTTGCTCATCATTCATTAAGTTTATCTTCTGTACGTGTATAATGTTATGACGGGGCAAATAATATGCAAGGTGAGATCAACGATCCTAAAATGTTGATTAAACAAGAAAGTAGATCGGTTCATTCTATTCATTGTTTTGCTCACCATCTTTAATTAACTCTTGTGGAGGTTTCAAAAAAGTGTGTTAAAGTGGGAGAACTTGTGCTATTGGTTTCAAATATTTTGAATGTGTTGGAAGCTTCTTTTGAACGTATGGATGAACTTCGAGAATCCCAAAAATAAAAACTCCAAGAGGCATTATATATGGGTGATCTAGAAACAGGTAAAGGCTTGAATCAAGAGCTTGGTCTTGTTAGAGCCGGTGATACTCGTTGGGGGTCTCACTACAAGTCGTTTGGAAATTTTATACTTTTGTTTGACTCGATTGTTGATGTACTTGATACTCTTGTTGAAGATGCAAGTACTTTAGATGAAAGAGCCAAGGCAACATGATATCTTAGAAGTTTTCAAACGTTTGAGGTTGCTTTCATGTTACATATGATCTTAATATATCGCTTCAGAAAAAGGAGTAAGATATCGCTAATGTCATGATACTTGTTGAAGTAGAAAAATAAAGGCTTCAAGAGTTAAGAGTTGATGGATGTGATCCATTTAAAAATAAGGTATCTACATTTTGTATCAGGCATGATATTCTGATACCCAATTTTGATGAGCCATGTGCTAACTCTGAAAGATTACGACGTAAACTTGTTGATCATACTACTTTACATCATTATCGCGTGGATGTGTTTTATAAGATTATTGATTGGCAACTTCAAGAACTTAACGGTCATTTCAATGAGGTGACAAGTGATTTATTTCATGGAGTAGCTTGCATGAATCCAGTTGATTCATTTTCTAGTTTTGACATCACGAAGATAGTAAGAATGGCTAAATTATATCCTGATGACTTTGATGAATTTAATTTGCGTGTCCTTGAGAATCAACTTACTAATTATATTGTTGATGTACGTGATATTAATCAAAGGTTCTCCAATTTAGGTGGACTTGATGAACTTTCAAAAAAACTAGTTGAGACAAAGAAGTATATTACTTATCCTCTTGTATTATGCTTAGTGAAACTTGCTTTGCTTCTCCTAGTTGTCACTGCAACCGTTGAAAGAGTTTTTTCTGCAATGAAGTTTATCAAGAATGACTTGCGGAATCGAATAAATGATGAATTGTTGGACGGTTGCATAGTGCCTTATGTAGAAAAAAAGTATTTCGTATTATTTCTAACGAGGTTATTAGAAAAATTGTGCTTTCAGTAGTAATATTTTTTTTGTTGATTCCTTTATATATAAGTTTTGATTTATACAATAGTTAATTATGTTAAAGTGTTTTTATGATTTAGCAAAATATTGTGTATTTTATTATAAAAATATTCGGTGCACCCATTCATAAAAAAAATTATTTACTTATCCAAAGGTTGAACACCCTCCGTGAAATTTCTAGCTACGCCACTGCTGACATAACACATAATTCAAATTTCCTAATTCCCTCAAGTCAAGGTTAAATCCAATACTTACCTCACTCCGCAATCAAATCAAAGATCAACCAGGGCATTTCCTTTAAAATTAGCCTCCAAACCAATCAAATCTAACCAAATATAGTTCAATCAATTCAAAATAAGCTTTAGAAAGTACTCACGAGTGAAAAAGATTCAATCTTTAATAATTTTGGAAAAAGTTAACAAACTCGGATCCGCTTGGTCAAAACCCGAGACCAAAAACCAATTACACATTTACCCCCGAACCCGATTATGTGATTAGTTTCAAAAATCCGACCTCAATTTGAGGTATAATCTCAATTTCTCAAAATTTTAATTTTTACCTAAATCTCTAATTTTTACCATGAACAAGCATAAATTAAAGGTTAGAAATCAATAGGTGTTTATGGAAATGGAAGAAAACAAGTTAAAATCTACTAACTTATGAGGTTGGGATGAAATTTCTCTTCAAAATCGCCTTTAGGCCAATCTCAAACTTGGAAATGGTGAAAATATGGGACAATCCTGATGTTTAGAAGTTTTAAAGACTAGGTGTCAAGTATTCATCGCATTCGCGAGACACATGATGCGATCGTGAAGTAATACAGGCTACTGGCCTTCGCGTTTGCGAGTTGTTGTATGCGATCGCGATGGTCTGCCCCCCTGGCCTTCGCGTTCACGTAGAACAACATACCAACTCACTTCCCATGCCCTATAACCTTCGCATTCGCAACCACTTCTCCGCATTCGCGTAGAAGAAAACCCACCTCACCCCAAGTTACCATTTGCAATCGCGAGAGTAGCTTTGCGATCGCGAAAAACAAAGCACCAGATATCAAAAAAAAGTGAAAACCAGTAATCTTTTCAGTCCAAAATCAATCTGTAGCCTATCCAAAACTCACCCGAGCCTCTTGGGCTTCAAACCAAAGATGCACACAATTCTAATAACATCATACAAACTCGCTCGCACAATCAAAATACCAAAATAATACCTAGAACTACGAATCAGACATCAAAATGTATGAATTTTTCAAAGAAATTTAAGAACTTTCAAATTCACAACCGAGCGTCCGAATCCTACTAAATCAACTCTGTTTTACATCAAATTTTGCAGACAAGTTGTAAATAGTAAAATGAACCTATACCAAGTTCCGGAACCTAAATCCAAACTCGGAAGAAACAAATTCAACATACTGTCAAATTTCGGAATTCTTTAAACCTTCCAATTACTAGTTTTAACAAATCACGTTAAATCAAGTTAAGGACTTCCGAATTCAATTCTGGGCATACGTTCAAGTCCCAAAATATGATACAGACCCATCGGGACTGTCAAAATACTGATCCGAAATCATTTTGCATAAAATGTTGACACTAGTCAACCCAAATCATTTTTATGGCAAAAATTCACATTTTCTTCCATTGTCACATAAAGACTTTCCGGAACAGGTCACAGACTGTGCAGCAAGGATGCTAAATGAAGCTAATCAAGGTCTCGAAACATGAAAATAAAGGCTAAAACTCAATATGACCTATCGGGTCATCACATAAGTACGAATCATACAATAAAAAATCTTAGGCCAATAAGCTATGACTACGAAATGAATTGGATTCAACGCTTAAAAGCTATCAAAGAAGAGTCAAAGGGGAGATTCCATAAGTCTTATTTGGAAGCCATTAGTTTAGATCTTTCCTCCTCTTTTTTTTTTCTTTAAAAGTTAGATGGCTGATTTTATTAATGTAACGATCCGACTGGTCATTTTGAGTATTACAGCCCTGTCCCCCCATTTACTACTCAATTTATGCATTAAAATTATTATGTGACTTGTTAGGGTAATTGGTTAGGGTCCGGTGAGGTTTTGAAATGAATTGAGATACTTAGTCTCCAAAATAAAAACTTAAGTTGAAAAGGTTGATCGGATGTTGACTTATATGTAAACGATCCCGGAATAGAATTTTGATGATTCACATAGCTCCGTATGGTGATTTTGGACTTAGGAGCGTGTCCAAAAAATTATTTAAAAGTCTGTAGTTAAATTAGACTTGAAATGACTTAAATAGAAATTTAAGTTTGGAAGTTTGACCGGGGAGTTAACTTTGTGATATCGGAGTTAGAATCTGATTCTGAAAATTGGAATAGGTATGTTATGTCATTTAGTACTTGTATGCAAAGTTTGAGGTCAATCCGACTTGATTTGATAGGTTTCGGCATTGAATGCAGAAGTTAAAATTTTTTAGTTTCATTAAGCTTGAATTGGGGTATGATACATGTTTTTAGTATTATTTGATGTGATTTAAGGCTTCGACTAAATCCGTATGATGTTTTGGGACTTGTTGGTGTATTTGGTTGAGGTCCCCAGGGCCTCGAGTGAGTTTCGGGATGTTTCAGATCATTTTTCCTTGTTTTGCAACTGCTGGAACTGGTGTATGGTGTTGTTCTTCGCGAACGCGAAGGATCTCACGCGTTCGCGAAGAAGGATTTTTGGGTTGTCGGGATTTGCCCATCGCGAACATGATGAAGGAGACGTGAACGCGAAGAAGAGGCTGGGGAAACCTACCCGAACGCGAATGGGCGGACACGAACACGAAGAGGAAGGGGAGTTGGGGGCCTGCCTGGCGTTAAGCCTTCGTGAACGCGGCTCGTAGCTCGCGAACGCGGAGGGCTGAGGTCGAAGGTTTCGCAAACGTGACGAAGAAGGAAATTTTGGCAGCAATTTTTGTGCTTCGCGAACGCGAAAAAGAAAAGCATGGGCAGAGAGTTTAAAATCTGAAAATGGGAATTCGTCCCATCTTCCATTTTTGACGAATTGGAGCTCGGAAAAAAGCAATTTTCGGGATATTTTCAAGGAAAATAATGGGGGTAAGTGTTCTTAACTCAATATTGGTCAAATTACCCGAATACATGGTTGTTTTTAATATTTAATTTGTGATTTAAATTGGAAAAATTATGAAAATCCCTCTTAGTTTAATTTGAAAATTTGAGGGTCGGGTTGATGTCTAAATTTGGTAAAATTTGTATGGTTGGACTCGTGGTTGGATGGGCGTTCATATTTTTAAACTTTTGTTGGGTTCCGAGATGTGGGCCCCATGGGCGATTTTTTGAGTGCAATTTCGGATTTTGTTGGTAAATTTGTACTTTCATATGGAATTAAATCCTTTAATTTGTATTAACTAAATCGAATTATTTGTGACTAGATTCAAGCCGTTTGGAGGCCGATTCGCGAGGCAAAGGCATATAAGAGTAAAGAATTACACGGTTTGAGGTAAGTAAGAGTTCAAAATTTAGTGTTGAGGGTATGAAACCCTAGATTATGTGTTATGTGATCGGTTTTGAGGTGACGCACATGCTAGGTGACGGGCTGTCACGACCCAAAAATCTTACCCATCGTGATGGCGCCTATATCAATTCTAGGCAAGCCGACAATCTCAATAAACTCCCATATCTTTTAAGTTTTAAAACATAATGATTAAATTCAGCGGAAGAAAATTCACAAATACATATAGAAACACTCCTAAAACCTGGTGTCACTGAGTACATAAGTATCTAATATTAATACAAGTCTTAAAAATACGGTCCATAATAGTCTGAGACCAAATGCAGTAACTAAGAAGATAGGGAAGGAGAGGCAAGGTCTGTGAAATACGGCAGCTACCTCAGAATCTTTGAAAAATTAACTGTGCGAAAGAATCAACACCCGTTATGTCCGGGAATACCTGGATCTACACACGAAGTGCAGTGTGTAGTATGAGTACAACCAACTCAGTAAGTAACAATAATAAATAAAGAACTGAAGATAATGACGAGCTACACAGTTATACTTCACTTTCAGTAATTCCAGCAAAGAATAGACATGCTTTCAAATCCAGCACGGACAACTCACGTGCTATAATATCCTGCACGGACAACTCACGTGCTATAATATCCATACCTCACCGACAGGCTCTCGGCCTCACTCAGTCATCATCCTCTTTAGTCTCTCGGGTTCTCGAAAATCACAAAGATCAGCCCAAACAAAGATAACATAGTGTATCAACAAAAATCAAGAAAGACTGAGGTATGATATGCAAGAAAAATCATGACTGAGTACAAGACAGCAATTAGCAAATAATTCAACAAGTATGCGACCTCTACGGGTCCCAACAGTACTATCACATAGCCTAAGTATGATTTATAGTCAAATTTCTTTAACACATAAAGAGCATATAGCTAACAACAAGTTATTCAACTTTACAGTTTCACGGGACGGACCAAGTCACAATCCCCTTGGTGCATGCCCACACGCCCGTCACCTAGCATGTACGTCACCTCCAAAATAATCACATGACACAAAAATCTGGGGTTTCGTACCCTCAGGACCAGATTTAAAACGGTTACTTACATCAAACCGTGAAATTCTTATTCCGCTAAGCCTTTGCCTCGTGAATTAGCTTCCAAACGCCTCGAATCTAGCCACAAATAGTTTGATTCATCAACCCTCCGAAACTCACCCGTGGCCCCCGGGACCTCAACCAGATATACCATCAAGTCCTAAAACACCTTACGAACTTAGTCGAACCCTCAAATCAAGTCTGATTGACCTCAGATTTTGCACACAAGTCATAAATGACATAACGTACCTATTAAAATTTTTAGAATCGGATTACAACCCCGATATCAAAAAGTCACACACACCCCCCTCCCGTCAAACTTTCCAAAAATTCGACTTTCGCCATTTCAAGCCTAATTGCACTACGGACCTCCAAATAATTTTTCGGACACGCTCCTAAGTCCAAAATCACCATACGGAGCTATTGGAATTATCAAAATTAAATTCCGAGATTGTTAACACATAAGTCAATATCTGATCAACTTTTTCAATCTTAAGTTTTCAATTATGAGACTAAGTGTCTCATTTTACTCCGAAATTCTTCCGGACCTAAACCAACTAACACGGTAAGTCATAAAATAATTGTAAAGCATAAATTAAGCAGTAAATAGGGAAACGGGGTTATAATACTCAAAACGATCGGCCGGGTCGTTACACTCCCCCCTTTTAAACAAACATTCATCCTCGAACGGGTTTAGAATAATACCTGGAGTCTCAAATAAGTATGGATATTTGCTCTGCATCTCTTGCTCAATCTCCCAAGTAGTTTCTCTAACTGGCTGGCCTCTCCACTGTACCTTCACTGATGTTATATCCTTTGACCTCAGCTTTCGAACCTGCCTGTATAAAATAGCCACCGGCTCCATATCATAAGATAAATTTCCGTCCAACTGCACTGTACTGAAATCCAGAATATGAGACGGATCCCCGACATACTTTCGGAGCATGGATACATGGAATACTGGATGAACACCTGATAGACTAGTTGGCAAGGCAAGTTTATAAGCCAACTCTCCAATTTTCTTAAGTATCTCAAAAGCCCCAATATACCGAGGGCTCAACTTACCCTTCTTCCCGAACCTCAACACACCCTTCATGGGTGAAATCTTGAGTAGAACCTTCTCCCCAACCATGTAAACAACATCACGAACCTTCCTGTCGGCATAACTCCTCTGTCTAGACTGCGCAGTGCGAAGGCGTTCCTGAATCACTTTGACCTTCTCTAAAGCATCCTGAACCAAGTCAGTACCCAACAATCTAGTCTCACCCGACTCAAACCAACCCATCGGAGACCGACATCGTCTCCCATACAAAGCCTCATATGTAGCCATCTGAATACTCGACCGGTAGCTATTATTATAAGCAAACTTCGCGAGTGACAGAAACTGATCCCAAGAACCCCCGATATCAATGACACAAGCACGTAGCATATCCTCTAATATCTGAATAGTGCGCTTGGACTGTCCGTCCGTCTAAGGATGAAATATTGTGCTCAACTGAACCTGTGTGCCCAATTCTCGCTGCACTGCGTACCCCGATCTAAAATGATGGACAGTGGCACACCTTGTAAGCGAACAATCTCGCAAATATAAATCCCAGCCAACCGCTCAGAAGAATAAATAGTATCAACTAGGATAAAATGCACAGATTTGGTCAACCGATCTACTATCACCCAAACAACATCAAACTTTCTCAAAGTCCATGGGAGCCCAACTACGAAGTCCATGGTCATACGCTCCCACTTCCACTCCGGAATTTCAAGTTTCTGAAGTAATCCGCCCGGTCTCTGATGCTCATACTTTACTTGTTGACAATTTAAATACCGAGCTACAAATCCAACTATATCTTTCTTTATTCGCCTCCACCAATAGTGTTGCCTCAAATCCTGATACATTTTCGCGACACCTGGATGAATAGAGTACCGCGAACTGTGAGCTTCCTGGAGAATCAGCTCACGCAAACCATCTACATTAGGCACACATAGCCTGCCCTGCATCTGTAATACACCATCATCCCCAATAGTGACTTCCTTGGCATTACCGTGCTGAACTGTGTCCTTAAGGACGAGCAGATGGGGATCATCATACTGGCGTTCTCTTATGCGATCATATAAATAAGACTGAGAAACCACACAAGCTAAAACTCGATTCGGCTCGAAAACATCCAATCTAATAAACTGGTTGGCCAAGGCCTGAACATCCAAGGCTAAAGGCCTCTCTACTACCGATAAGTATGCTAAGCTGCCCAAACTCTCCGCCTTACGACTCAAGGTATCGACCACTACATTGGCCTTTCCGGGATGATAGAGAATGGTGATATCATAATCCTTAAGTAACTCTAACCACCTCCGTTGCCGCAAATTAAGATCTTTATGTTTGAACAGATGTTGTAGACTCTGGTGATCGGTATAAACCTTATAATGGACACCATACAAATAGTGCCGCCAAATCTTCAAGGCATGAACAATAGTTGTTAACTCAAGGTAGTGGACTAGATAATTCTTCGCATGTGCCTTTAACTGTCTAGACGCATAGGCAATCACCCTACCATCTTGCAAAAGCACTGCGTTGAAACTGATACGTGACCCGTCACAGGCCGCACTTGCTACTTCTCAGGCCGGGAGAAGTACTCATACCCCTGTTGCCCGTACTCCAGACCAGGTAGTACAAGGACTTCAGATACCAGAGGCACTACCAGCCCAGCCAGCTGCAGCTGCTCAGGCCCCGGTAGTTTCTGTTATGGCAGAAGATAAACAAAGGAGACTTGAGAGATTTGAGAGGCTTCAACCTCCACCATTCAGCGGTACTGAGTCAGAGGATGCTTAGGGTTTTCTGGATAGGTGTCAACGGATGCTTCGGACAACGGGTATTCTGGAGACCAGTGGGGTCTCGTTCACTACTTTTCACTTTTTTGGGGCTTCCTTCAGATGGTGGGAGGCTTACGAGAGGCGTAGGACTATCAGTGTAGCACCCCTTACCTGGCAGCAGTTCTCCAGTCTATTCCTGGAGAAGTTCGTGCCTCAGTCCTGTAGAGAGGAGCTGCGTAGACAGTTCAAGCAGCTTCGTTAGGGTGATATGTTCGTGATGCAGTATGAGATGATATTTTCGGAGTTGGCCCCTCATGCTATCTGGTTGATTTCCACAGACAGAGAAAGGATCGGGAGGTTCATAGATGGCCTCACATTTCAACTACGATTACTCATGACTAGAGAGAGAGTGTCTTGTGCCACTTTCGACGAGGTGGTCGACATTGCTCGTCAAATTGAGATGGTTCGAAGTCAGGAGCGGGTTGAGAGGGAGGCTAAGAGGCCTCGTAGTTCAGATGATTTTAGTGGTGTTCCTTCAGGGGGTCAGTTTTACCGCGGTAAGGGTCGTTCTTTCAGACACACTCAGGCGACTCGTCCAACTCATCGTGATGCATCAGCTAGCCACGGTTCTTACAATGCTCACTCAGGCCAGTCTTCATTCAGTGCACTACCGGCATAGAGTACTCATCATGCCTCATCCACTCAGGCTTCTACAGGTAATTCCTCGGGTTATTAGGAGCATCAGTTCTGTCAGAGGAGGGGTTGTTTCGAGTGCGGAGAATTGGGTCATTTCAAGAGAGATTGTCCTATGCTGTTGAGTGGGGATCTACAACAGAGTTCTCGACCAACGGCACCAGCACCAACAGTTACACCACCCGTCCAGCCAGCTCGGGGTGGGGGTCAGGCAGCTAGGGATCGCCCAAGAGGGGGAGGCCGGTCAGGTGGCAGTCAGGACCGATTCTATACTTTTCCTGCCAGGCCAGATGTTGTTGCTTCAGATGCAGTGATCACATGTATTGTTTCAGTGTGCCACAGGGAGGATTCTATATTATTTGACCATGGATCCACTTATTCATATATATATCATAGTATTTTGCTCATTATCTGGACATGCCCTGTGAGTCCTTAGTTTCACCTGTTTGTGTGTCAACACTGGTGGACGATATTATTACTGTAGACCTTGTGTATAGGTCGTGTGTGGTAACTATTGGGGAACTGGAGACTAGAGTTGATCTCTTATTTTTTGGTATGGTTGATTTCGATGTAATCCTGGGTATAGATTGGTTGTCTCCATGTCATGCTATTCTGGACTGTCACACGAAAACCGTGACGTTGATGATGCCGGGTTGCCAAAGGTTGAATGGAGAGGTTCTCTAGATTTTGTTCCTAGCAGGGTAATTTCTTATTTGAAGGCCCAACGTATGGTTGGAAAGGGATGTTTGTCATATTTGGCCTTTGTGAGAGATGTTGATGCAGATACTCCTATTATTGATTTAGTACCGGTCATGCGAGACTTTTCGAATATATTTCCTGCAGACCTGCCGGGTATGCCACCCGACAGGGATATTGATTTCGGTGGGCAAAGAGAAACGTTCACTCATGGCTCATATTCCATTTCTCAGGAAATGGCAAGTCATTGGCAGGGATCAGGTCCGAGGTTTTGATTCGAACAAAACGGCCCATCTAACCCTGATCTCGGGTCTCGTCTATGCTCAAGAATGGCGCTTTGGTTGCTCGGCGAGCAAGCTTGATCAACCCTCCTCGATAAAGTCGGGGACTGTAAAGGCGCATAAGATGATCGAGGGTGAAGATACGCCCCTCGACCTTGCTCGAGAAAAATCGAAGAAGAATCACTATCCTCCAAAAGGAAGGGTGAATTTGGCCGAGGGTCACATCGTACCTCTTACAAAAGGCAACGATGACAGGGTCTAAAGGTCCCAACGTGAAAGGATAAGTGTAAACACTTAAGAACCCTTCGATGTGGGTAATAATTGATTCATCAGGTGATGGGATTACTATGAGTTTATTATCCCAGTTGCATTTTTGTATGACTTTATCGAGAACTTTTTCGGTAATTGAACATTGATACCTCGACATCGGCTCACACTGACCCGGTATCGGAGAAGGCTTTTCAATTTTAAAATTGCCTACAGTCGAACACCCTACCAGAACAAATTCCTCAGGGCAGGGCTCTTCCACATCCTCGCCACCAGCAGGTCGAGATGAAGAAGCGGTCTCTTTTGCATAACAGTTTTAGACGTTTTTGCCATTTAAAATTTCGTGAACAAAGAACGGAAGTATTTGGTGTTTTAAGAATGAGTTTGCAGTAAAACTCACAGATTTACAGGCAGAAAACTAGAAGAGACGAAAAGGAACTTAGAAAAATTGGAAGGTTGAAGACGTAAAGTATGAATGATGGAAGGAAATGCTATTTATAGATTGAAGCAATGGCGGTTCAATATCAGAGGTGACCGACCACCGTCTGACACATTAAATGCCTTAGTAAAACCGAACCGATGGGACAACTATCACATACGTCATGGTCGAGATCGATGTAAACGTCAGTATATATCTGATCGAGCTGTTAGGAAATTATATCGTTTCTCGCCACATCCTTTTTCGAGAAACGAGGGGACTATCAGTGTGCGGTCAGAACCGATTGAGTCAGTCGTACGGACTGATCGAGAGGCAATACTTCGATCGAAAGGTATCTACGTAAGGTCAGTTCGAGTCTGAAGAAAGGGGCTTCAGGATTCGAACTCCAAGTCCAATAAAAGATCAGCTCGGTATCATTATCGGGCCTATGACCAAATCGAACCACGAAGCAAAAGGTTGTCGGAGATGCACAGACCGATCAACACCCACCCCGAATATCAAGACTCCGAGTCAGGATCGAGCTCGAGTCAAGCCCAATGGCTTGACCCGATATCGAGTTTGAGTCAGTATCGAAGCTCACAGACAAGGCCGTTATAGCCGCACTAAGAGAGAGAATCATGGCGGGAAGTAGGGAAAAGACAATACATCATGGGCTCTCTACTACGTATTTTTTATTGTTGTATATAAAGTAGGATCTCTCTACTATTAAGGAAAAAATGGATTGTAAGCAGAGGCAGATTGGAACGAAAGATTTCTTCTCATATTGAATGATATTCCCTTGTGTTTATTTTCCTTTATCTTATCCGTTCTTCTTCTCACTATTCTCATTCTCATAGTCAAGAATACACGTATTTCTATTTCTCTATACGATTTGTATCAAATTATATCACATATCCTTAGAACCATACACAAATTTAACTCTATCCAATTTTTCGGGTAAATAGCAGTAGAGTATTTTTCTTCCCAATTCCCATTTGTAAATTCAACACGAATACAAATCAATTAGTCGGACTAATAAATATTTTATAAATTAATAAATAAACTGGTACTATAGATTCTATCTAAGAAACCGACTCAAATGTCCACCTACACGATCACATCGTCCTAGCTACGTACACCCACGAGCATTAACAGCAGCCTTTCATGGTCCCACGCAGAAGCAGAGCCCCCTGGTATAATAGAAAATACTCTGGCCTGAGTCAAACTCTCGAACAGTTCAATTATACGGATCAAAGCATCCTAAACAACAAATAAACCTCGAGAATATACAGGATAGGAACACTCCTTCTATTGTTCGGTAATTTCTTGACACATGTACCTCTAACTTGGTCCAATTGTAGTCAAATAAGCTCTTGTTGAACTGTTTCACATCCCGACTGATGCGCAACCCATTCTCATGCCCAAGTACTTTACTTTGGTTTATCCTATTCATAACATTTGTGCATGGCACCCCAATTTGCCACTATTCTCAAGTACAACTTTCGTCTGACCCCCAAAGTGCAGTTACGTAGTACTTAAGTCATGTCAGTGTATGTGAGACTTCAATAAACTAGTAACCGCTGATTGTTCTCATTTTTACTACATTTTATACATGGTGTTTGATAAGACAAAAATATATATAGCATGTAAAATTATATAGATGAAGCATATATTTGTTCTTTTTAAATATTTTCCTGCAATCTTTGTTCGGATTATAGGAGGATATTGGAAAATGAAAATCTGAGAAGATGAAGATTTGGTTAGAACGCAATACTATATATGACACAAGCTCTTATGCTATAACTGCTGCTAAACCCTTGCAAATGAAGGAATTCGGACTAAAACAACTACTACTGAGTACTGAACAATGAGCCATTAACTTGTTAACAACAATTTGGTGTTAATTCTATTAGTTCCGCCAATATTGTTGTATTTATAAATAATAATTCTGCAAAATATAAGTTAACGTAATGAAACAGTAATTAATTCGAACCCACTGAATTCACAGTGTTTCCTTAAGGAATTTAATCCCCTCCTAGTACCCAAGGTAATGGATTATTTCCTCCCAGGATAGAACGAATCACACACTGGTGTAGCGGTACTTCAAACCCCAGTGTTTCAGCGAACACAAAGTTCGGTAGCAAATCACACTTACAGTTGCTTTGTTTGAAGTTAAAAACAATACAGAACGAGGGAGTAGAAACTCAGAAAATCGTATGAAAATACTGAGAGGAAGGAGTGCAATGTATAGCCAAATCTGTTGAGCGATTT